AGAAGGCGATGTGTGTTTATCAGGAAAGATTGGAGGTTGTGAAAATTTTTTTCAATACCTTGGGTCATTGATTGCCAACAATGGTGACACAGTAAAAGAAATTAAACGACGACTATCAATGGCTCTTCAAAGACTAAAAGAACTGAATTATTGAGTGGGACAGACAGAACTTCACAAATCAGATTTCTAAGAGCATGCATTTTTCACATTGCAACATTCGCCTGTGAGACTTGGACACTTACTAAACAAGCTGAACAGCGCATAAATGCCTTAGAATACAAAAGTTACAGACGGGTTTTAAGAATATCGCAGGTAAAGAACAAATGCATCGTTACTTAAAGAAAGAAAACTGAAAACTGAAATATTTTAGTAACTTGAAACGTCACACAAATTTAGAGAGAAGAGTAAAGGAGGGATATATGCCTGGAATGAGACGAAGAGGATGGCCAAAGAGAAGATGGGAGCAGGATGTGGCGGATGATCTACAGATGGGTGTATCGGTCTCGGGACATCTTGCTTGTGATCGAGACGTTTTCCGGAAGGTTGTTTTTAGAGCAAGGTTCTAAATATGACAGGCTACTGACTGACTGACTTTCTGTGTGTGTGTCTATGTGTATGTTTATGTGTGTGTATGTATGTGTACTCTAAAAAATTCACGGGCCACCCTATTATTGTCAGTAAATTTTTTTTATAAGCGTTTAAAATAATTAAAGGAAGAAAGTTATTAGTAAAAAATGGGTGCAATATATTTATATCACAGTCTTCTATGTACAGGAAGCATAAAAACAACTCACCGACAATCATAGTGATGACGTGCATTTTGGTTTGCTGACCATAAATTCTCCTTTCCTATATGTTTTCTAAAACTTTCGTACAACCAAACATGTAAAATAATCTTGCTGACTGGCATGTCGTGTTAAGTGTCGATTTTTTATGGACATAGATCATTCCTGATTAATTTAACAATTAGCAGACTTAGATTTGTTTCACCACTTGCAAAAACTTTGAAATCGAGAAGACGTCTTGACACCTTACAAATAATGACGGCTTTAGCGTGGGTTGAACGCGGTTTATCTATTACTGAAGTTACAAGATGGCTTGCAGTGTCACACACTAATATCAAAAACATTTAGGCGACATGAAGTCTTAAGGATCGCTAGCGGCCAGGTCGCACTCATCATCAAGTGCCTTGTCGACTGGAGTGAGCGATCATGCCTCTCCAAAATCTACGATCTCCTACAGCGTGTATCAGTTCATGTGCTGAAACCTCTCCATGCAATGCAACAAGACTGTCAAGAATCTTTTTTCGTTATCTTCCCTTATCCCCCCTTCCGCAGATCTTGCCAGTGATCACAACATGTTCCATTTTTCCTCTTCTCATAACATGGCCAAAAAATGATGACTGTCTCCTTCTGATGTCTGTGATAAATTGTCTCTGGACTCCGCCTCTTTCAAAACCAAAGATGTAATGATAAGACAACACACGATGCAATTAAAGCTAAAGAAGATTATAGGAAAAGACTAGTAAAAACTGCTGCAAGAAAAGATACAAGTTTATACTGATAAACTTGCTGAAGAAGGAGAAATATCAAAATACTTTACAATACATTAACACAACTAACTGAAACATTTAAACACAAAGTGGTCCAGTCAAAGATGGCACAATGCTCACATCCTGCCAACCCATGTTGCTTAGCGTCACGAGCACATCCAAAGGACAAGTCAGCAATATGGTCAAGTGCTCTTCACTGATGAATCTCGATTTACTGTTTTATTCAATGATGGAAGGAATCGAGTCTGAGGACGACTAGGAGAGCGATTTACTTATGACACAATCCGAGATGTGGATCGTTATGGTAGGGTTTCTATCGTAGTCTGAGGAGGCTTCTACATATACGGTACAGAGTGTCGATAGGATACCAAATTTAGGTATAGCACAGTCTGTCCTAGGCGTTAAAGGCTTGAAAAGTTGTTTACATCCAATACCTATTTTTTCTTAAACAGAAGACCCCCACCCCCCTCTCTCTCTCTCTTTATATAGATATTATATATATATATATATATATATATATATATATATATATATATATATATATTTAATATATATATATATATATATATATATATATATAGAGAGAGAGAGAGTTTAGAGAGGCAAGGGTTTCTAAAGGGACTATAGTTATACTATATTATATTATACCAGAACGTATTACTCCCTGTAAGAATATATATATATATAGAGAGAGAGAGTTTAGAGAGGCAAGGGTTTCTAAAGGGACTATAGTTATACTATATTATATTATACCAGAACGTATTACTCCCTGTAAGAATGATCGCTAAACAGACATTAGAAATCCGAAAATGAAGAAAGAAGCAACAATTTAATTTAGAATTAAGTGGAATAATCGCCAAACAGACATTAGAAATCCGAATATGAAGAAAGAAGCAAAAATTAAATTTAGAAATAAATGGAAGAAAACATTAAAAATGCATCTGCTTTTACATATCTACGAACAACACTCATCGTAGATGGTACATTTGATGAAGAAATTATTATCATGTGCAAAGTAAGTATTGTGACAACTACATCCCTCTCCCCTCCGTTCCCCTCCCCACCCCTCTTTTTTTAAGCATAAAGCGATCCAGACCAACTGGGAGAAATATTTAAGACCAAGTAAATAAATTCCTACCATATGATACAAATGTAAGATATGATCACTCAGAACAAACCTTAATAGAAATCAATAATCATAGAAATGAGTGAAAATGGCTCCATGAATGACTAGAAAAGATAAAAAGATGAATGAGAAACATTCGAAGAAAAGTTCTCACATTCTAAATTTCAAAGACATTTAAATCGAATGGTTTGTCCATTTAGAGAGACTTCTTGCGATGCCATAACATACAGGCATACATCGAAAGAGGAGAAATATAGAGCATGAGGTAGACCCAGAACAATATGACAGATATCATCAAAGAAACTCTACATCAGCCAGATGTGTCTATGGCCGAGGCGTCTAAGAGAGCAAGAACCAGAACCTTACTTCTCTCTTGACATTTGAAGCTGCAAAAGAGGAAGTTAAGAAGAAAAAGAACAACTTTTTTGACATCTGAATAGATGTCGTTACTTAGACTTTTTTAGCTGTCATCACTGGGTTTTAATTCATTGTCTGCACTGCAAATTGTTAAGTTCTTCTCATGGGATAAATGCAATATTCATATTAGAACAGGTTGCTAGAGTCATTTACAGAAAATAACAGTTACTGTCTCTATAAAACATATGTACAAACTGAATAAAGGACAAGTATTTTACAAGAAAATTCCAAATACATTAGCAACAATCGTTGCAATGTTGCTTCAGGATTACACACAACAACTGGAGACCTGCTCCGTTTTTATCCACAGCAGTTATTCAAACAGACTTGGCGAACAATCAAATACTACAAATATAGTTAGTAAAAATACTATTTGTTTACACAACAAAGTTGTAATTAGTGACGAAAAACTACAAAAAACTCAACTATTTTACCTGAATACTAAAATTAAAACAAGTTTGGATAACGATGTTTCCATTTTGAGTCATTCAGTGCCAGACACATGTATACATGACTAGAAACTGTTATCGTCCAAGGTATTACGAATGCATGAATATATCACGTACAGGCGAGGCATACTAAAGTACTTCAACATTGTAACTGTTTCTTTCTTGAGGTTAATATTTGGTCCATGTGTGCGTAGTAACAACACCTATGCTTCTCGTGGTGTCATCACTGACTGATGTTCAACCCCACGACGAGCGATAAACACCCAGTGACACAAACTTAACGCCACACCGATGAGAATCACGCAGGTAGAAGTCCCAGAAACACAGTAGGTTATATTTAGGGCCCCTTCGTAAGCCATGGTAGAGTTAAAAAAAAAATATGCGTCTCAGTTGCAGCGGGAGCTAAGTCACTATCACTAATTGACTCAGATATCAAATGTAATCTCCTGGGTGTGAGGGACTTAAAGTTAACATTAATGTTAAAGTTGAGGGATAGACTTCATTGTGTTGACTTTTGTCATACGACTTCACCCCTCTCAGCAAAACACCTAGCCACCTACACGGAGCAGCACATGAAGCATGAATTCTGCATCGCCAGCAACGATCCTGAGAGAGCTTCGTAAAAATAACATCCATAAACTGGACGACGAATGGGTGAAACGGACCCAAAACCTTCAGAGCGCGAGGCAAACGGCTTGATCTCCTCGCCAAGGAACCCTTCCCCCCACCCCCGTTACTATTTTCTAAATGAGTGGAAACTGAAATCCGTAGTTTACAGTAAAAAAGCTTGCCACATAATACATGTTGTTGAGTAAATAAAAGTGTAACGATTCAATGCTAACGAAATAGATTGCTACTGAAATTTCTCATTTAACAATTCAATGGTAACAAAAAAGATTGCTACTGAAATTTCTCATGTAACGATTCAATGGTAACAAAATAGACTGCTACTGAAGTTTTTCATGTGACGATTCAATGGTAACAAAATAGATTGCTACTGAAATTTCTCATGTAACGATTCAATGGTAACAAAATAGATTGCTAATGAAATTTTTCAAAGGTGATGATTACAACAATGAAGAAGAACGTGCTGTCTTCGAAGATGGAAACATTGCCCAACCATTGCAGTGAGCGCGATGAATTACGGACAACACAGTGCAGCGTGTCAGAAATCAGCCAACAAGGAGATAATGTTTGCTTATTGCAAGTAAGTATATTCACAGATAAAATATAAGATCCTTGTTGTCAGTATTGTTCCTGTTTGACACTGTTGGTTTTTACACCAAGACGGATGTCTTACACTGATTTAGCGTCAAGAATCAAATAGCAGCATTGTTGATATGACTGTTTAGTGCTATAGAAGATTCTTAAAAAAAAAAAATATTGGCGTAAAGTTGCTGGAATTGAAATAATAGATAACACAAGCCTCTGTGTATTTTGTATGTGGTTGTTAGTCTCAAACTGTGACGGACGCAGGCGAAACAAACAGTACCACACCCGTAATGGCGAGTGTTACACATACAAAGCAAGTCAGCAGCAGTCTGTCCGCTAACTGAGCCACCTGTTGCCACTCTGTCTTGATAACGTCTTTCTTCTCCTGCTCCGCTAGCCTGATGTCGTTCCTTTCGATAGTTTGATAAACTTTTTGAAGAACCCTAGTGAAGTACAGCTCGAAAGAGTCTGAGGTTTGTTCCAATGATGATGCGTTTCCGTTGGAGCGGCGATATCCAAGGAACGTTTGAGGAACTGTGCCATTTCCTTGACACTCTTCGCCCTCCATTGAAGGAATATCCACGCGGCTGGGATGACTCATGTCATGTGGTTGTTTCATCTCCTAGAATAAATGGAGAAAAGACAGCTGTAAGTAAATTGTCATACAGATTATGCACTGAATTGTCTCCACAATGCTTTTGTTCATCTACACTTATGTTTTTTTTTTTTTTTCTTTTTCGCATCACGGCATATGTTAGTTTTCCAAGGAGCAACGACAGAAAAGAACAATTTAAGGGAGGGTGTGGTTAGCCCCCTAAACTATTTTATATTTGGAGGGGAGGAGGTGGTGTAGGGGGGGGGGGAAGAGGATGTGACTTAATAGGCTTTGTCTAATAATAATAATAATAATAATAATAATAATAATAATAATAATAACAATAATAATAATATTGTGCCCAATGCAAATACATAAACTAATATATTTTGAATAATTTAGAATGTACAGACAACTGTTAAAAAAGAGGTTGTGTGTACATTGTGGTTGGGGTGGCTACTTAGCCATTACATATTTTTCTATGGGGAAAGTCAGTTAACCTCCTCCCCACCCCTCCCAGCCCAATATATAGTTTTTGTGGGGTGAATGCTCAAGTATTATACAAAAGAGCACTTTCTGACATAACAATTAAAGTAACAATTCAAAAACAAAAGTTCAGTTTAACGCCTGTCTGTAAAATATATCTTCACAATAACTGAGAAAGAGTGAACTAGTGGAAGATAACAGATCTGTGAACCAGACGATTTAGCAACCTACTCCCTTAAGTAACAAAAGTGACCATACCATTTTTTTAAACGTGTGTGAGTATGACTTTAACATAAAGGTACAGAATACAATAATACAATAATGTTGAAAATTAAACCAACTAGCCAGACTTCGACAATATGCGTAGGACAAACGCCAGATGACATACTAAGTTGCTTGCCATATATCAATACCTTACTCTTGGGTCGGCTCTGTGGCTAAGTCGATGCGAACGCTTCGTAATGCCGGGGTACCGGGTTCGATCCAGCTGCGGGCCAAACGCCTTGCGTTGGTTTCAACAGTGGTATCAGGAAGCCGACCGTCCAGTGGGCAATCGCAAACGTACTGGACGTAAATTTGCCTAGTGAAAAAACACAACAGCCAGGAGCAGATGGGGTTGGTTCTGCAATGGCCTGTAAAGAATACGCAACTAACCTTTTAACTATACTTGGCGTGTTTTTTGAGACTCAAACACTTATAGTCTGTTCCAGAAGTCCTGCCAAACTTTAAAAATCTGTAACTCAGTAACCGTTGGGTGAAAGTTGTTGTAATCATATGATTGTAAAAAAAAAAAAAAAACAACAACCCGTCACCGTTTCAAAACTATCAGCATGCTTACGGTTACTTGAGTAACAGGGACGTTTAAAAACATCAAATTGTACGTGTGTCATAGGCGTTTCAATCAGGTGGTTATCTCCAGCATTAGACTGCCGTGAATTGCTGATTTTTTATTGCATGCTGGATAAGTTATGAAAATAATCACCATGCATCATTGCACATCTCAACTGAATTATCCCCGCGTGTGTCAGTTAGTAGATATTCTATATTTAGGAGTACCTAAATTATTAGTCAAACAGAGATCACATAAATTTGCTGCTTAAAAAAAAAAAAGCACCACTTGTGTTATTGCAAATTGTTTATTGTAAAACCATATGGCCACGCGTGTCCGTGGCTCAGGCGTTGCGAGTTCGACTCGTAATTCCAACGTACCGGGATCAAAACCAACTGCTGGCTGCGTGGGTTTTCATCATGGTATGGGACGTCGCAGGTCGACCCAGCCTAAAATGGATACCAGGATGGATGTCCTGGGGAAATAAAGACGGCCGGCGTAATGCTGACTACATTATCCAACTAGTGCCGATTGGTCTGTAAAAATATGAGTGCTTCTCCCATATGCCCGATGCCTAACGGCGTGAAAAAGGATCTTTACATCTCTTTTTATTTGAACACGTTTACTCTAAGGCCACATCCAATAATTCATGTTGATCCCTGCAGGAATTTTTTAGATTTAAGGTTAAAGTTCGAGGGTGGGTGTTTGTAAATGCACCATGGCACAATACACAAGACAAATTACGCAAAAAAAAAAAAAAAAATTTCAATTAAAAACTTGTGATATTTGCAACCCCTGCTGTCTTTGGGAATATTACTTAAATGATTAAACCCCAGTTATTTCTACAGTGTGACTCATACTACTATCTAGAGCAACCTACAAAGTAGGGTTTATTTTTACTTTAAAATAAGGAACACTGACCGCCGAAATTGTTAATCGCATACATTTACTTGTAAGTGAAACAGACGCACATGTTATAGCCGCTGCAGTTCACTGTCATGTGTAAATATTTTTTATCAGAAATCCCCGAAGATATAACTGGTCAAGAAAAAAAAAAAAAGAGGGGGGGGGGGGGGAGGAAACAGTGCTGGAGGAGCATAGTCCCTTATATTTGTCTAGGGAGCAGCGGCGGAGAGAGTGACCCGGTAGGGTCTTAAGCCCTGTTTTAGCGATTATTATTATTATATTACGATAAATGATAAATAAAATATAAAAATATATTTACAATGCTATGAAATGTTTAAAGACATATAAAATTCTACACATGGTTATGTTTGCCACACAGCACCCTTGTAAATTGTCATGGAGATTGGGAAGGCGGAGGAGGGGGTTCTGCAAGTGCCTGAGCACAGGGTGCCGTTACAAAGAAACATTGAGTGGGGAAAAAGGGGGGGGGGGCCGAGGTCTAATCCCACGAGGCATAATCCTATTCCAGAAATAATATTAGTAATAATAATGATAATAATAAGATGTCTGATCGTACATAAATAAATAATACTATAAATTAGATAATATTAAATATATAAACAAAACTTCTAAAGTAAATTTCAATACATGGATAAAGGGACTGCTTAGCTTGATTGCACAATTAGTGCAACAATAGGGTGAAGAACCGAAAAAAGGGGGTTCTAAGAACCTTTGCCACTAGGTTTTGGCGAGAGCCTAAGAGAAGCGAGCAAACATAAAACGCAATCAATGTGCACGTCGCAAGTAATGATAATGTTACTAATAATGATAATAATAATAATATCAATAATAATAACAATAATAATGTACTGAATGTAAATGAAATAAATTTATATTTGAAAAAATATTTAACATTTAATAAATGGATTCTTTTTTGTTAAGTCACAACCTCACACGAGATTTAGGAAAATTCCATATTACGGGGGGGGGGGGGGGGGGGGGGGGGGCGAGGGAGGGGTCAGGGCTAGGGCTAGTGTTAAAGGAATAGCGACATTTTTCACCCCCCCAACCCTCCCCATAACATAAGATTTCCCTAAATTTCGCGTGATGTGACGGTTTTCTATTCATCAAATTTTATCTTGGAGGCTCAATGCGCCTAAGGCTTCTACCTTCTGGCGCCTAAGCTTCTAATATTTTGGTACACATTTTAAAATAGGCAACACGTCGCGGAAGAAGGAGTGCATTTTATTAATCATTTGTTTACTGCTCATTTATCTTCCACATGAATTAAAGGTGGGGGTTGGGTGGGGGGGGGGGGTGAGAAACATCTGTCTTCTATTCACACCAAACGCTGTGTAGACCGTTTATTTTTAGGTGGATTTTGCAGTAAAGTTCACTACTAGGGTGAGATGGCCAAGCTCTTACTATATTTAAGATATTTAACAGTCTCATCAATCGTCACTTACATTAGCGGCCCTGCTAAGAAACGATCATCTTCGGGTGTTTTTTTTTTTAACCCTTATCATTCTGTCAGGAATAAACAGCAGAATAGGCCAGGCTAAGGCTGCATTTCACAGAATAAAAAACATCTTGTGCAACAGGTCCCTCTCTTTAGACGTCCGAAAGAGAGTACTAAAATGTTATGTAGACGTATATTGCTATATGGTAGTGAATCATGGAATGTGAATGCACAAATTAGAAAGACCTTGAAGGCGACGGAGATGCGGTTTTATTTTCAGACGTATGCTAACAATCCCTTGGAATGTAAGAGCAGCTAACGAAGATTGCTTGACGGAAGCTAATGAAAACAGATCAATATATACAGCTATTTGGAACAGACAAGCACTGTTGTTTGGTCTTGTGATGAGAAGGAAGGGGGTGGAGCTATGGAGACTGTTGTAACGACTGGAAAGATCAACGGTAAAAGAGGCAGACCAAGAGAGATGATAACGGATGGACTGCGACGGTAGCATGGGGGTCTATAAAATAAAGGTAAAGCCCTAAATATCCAATACGCCTATAAGGCGCGGAAAAGGGTCCGTATCTTTACTTTCACGTGTGCCTGCAAATCAGTTTTAGATATCTCGCTTATTTCTATACCGACTGTTGATTCCTTTCATCTGAGACCCATGCACTCCGACTTTGAAGGAAAAACCCTGATTAGTCTTCTTTCACGACATGCTCTTTAAGCAAGAAGCGGGTCTTTTCCCCCCTTCTAAAATGTGCTAACAAACCCAAGGAAGATTTGAAAAAGTAATCATAATAGACATGCATACAGAAGACGGACACTGAAACGTGCAAACAAATTCCAACGATAAATTAAACAAACAAGTTATATACATTATATGCTGGTGCAAATAATGGAAGCTGTGTTCTGTGGGTATAGAGCTTGCTCTGCTCTATACATGTAGAACATTCGTTAACATGTAAACGTTTCCTGAAGATTAACAGTTTAATTGCTAAATTGTTATACTACTTCTTGTCATTTTTTTGATGCAAACAAACTATCACCTTATATCTTTCTGCTGCAAGGTTAAGTGGTGGGCATAACTGATTACAACATGTAATATTAATGCAATATTATGAGGGAAGACACTATTTTTTTAAAGTGTGGGGGGGGGGGGGGGAGAAGAACTAGGGCAGCAAATAGGAAAACACATTAAAAAATGAAACATTGCTGTTCGAAATACTGCACTTTGTTTTCTTCTTTTCTACGTGCGCATACACTGTGCAGTGTAACTCTTTGTTCGCATTATGTAAAGAATCGATAGTCTTTCGAATAATGATCTTAAGCCTCCTGCTGATCAGTTAATGTCCTATTTTTTTTTTGGGTCTTTTATGTGTCGTAACTTTTTTTTGGGTTTTTTTGTTACACCCTCCTTGCTGTATCCTGGTTGTCCTAATCAGAGTTGACCTCCTTCTCAGATATCTACCATGTGTGTATCACTTTTTGCTTCTTTGTCATATGGTAAGCATCCAGTATCAATTTATTCTGTCGAAACTCTAAGACAATATTCGTGTAAACCGTAGTGCTCTCCCGTGCCTTGTTTTAATTGTCTAGTCTTCCATACCTAGTCGAATATATTATTCTTTCTGGAGAGTGATTCTGTTAGGATTACCGTTCCATGTATCATGCACCGTGTTTATGAAATACATAGGAACAAAACAAAATGGGTGGTACAAAAAAAAAATGTTTACATCACAAGCGTGCTGGCAGTAATAAGGTTATATGGAGCACTGATAAGGGATTGATATTTCCATGGACACAGCATATCCCATATGTCAAGTGGTTGTTACTAAGGCGACGTACCATGTTTACAAGATCAGTATCTTCTTGATTTGCTACTTTGAAACGTATGTAGTTGGAAGAACCGCCTGGAGCACCATTGCAGTCTGGCGTAAACTGAAACAAAATGGAAACCAATAAACTCAATGCGCCACTACAAATAAACATAACTTGCGCTGGTGATAAGTAAATTTTAAGGATGGACAATAAACTGCATGCATGGGATCGGACACTGGGATTGTTTGCATTCGCGTAGAAGGCGATCTGCTGGGTCTCATTTCGTAGAAGGGAGATTTATTTTGGAAATTTACGCCAATTTTATTATGAATGAATGAATCCAGAATTGACATAACTTCCACTCGGAATATTCTTACATGTGCAGTGTCATCTTCTTCCTTAGCCAACGAACAGCCAATCAACTTCATCAGCTGGATTTTAAGCAATGGATAAAAGGAATTGGGCGATCGAATTCTGGCCCCTGGAGTTATAAAAATAAAAATTACTTAGGTTTCAGAGAGACGGAATGTACAAAGGGTTTTTAAACAAAAGGAAAGAAGAGAGAAATGAAGCATATATGCGACAATAAATAAACTAGCAATTTCTAAAACTACAGTGATTGGAGGGAAAACTGATGGCAAGTGGGCAGAAGTGGTAAGCCACAAAGACATGGAAGAACATTATTCTGAAGGTTGTATAACTATGTCGAGTGTCACAGGGTATTGGGAAATAGTTGGTCGGCCTTTATAGATAAGAATGTCCCTGCTTGACTGTTGAAATAAAATTTAATTGGAATTCTACAACAAAACAGAATTAACTGAAAATTATTTTTTTTTATTGCGCAAATGAGAAGACACACACACACACACACAAATAAATTATATAATTTTACGATTAAAAAAGTGATTTTAATTAGTGGTAGAGATTTTTTACCAAACTATATAAGCCAATATTCTGCAAAGGGAGAGTGCAAGGAGCTATTTGTTCAATGACCGCTGCGCTAGGTTCGAAGCCAGCAAGATGTAACTGGATACAACATCGCTTTCACAGAGTAAACAGTATTATACGCTACTGGTTTTAGAGTGCAAACACAAATAGCATCAAAAAGGCAGACGTCTAATTGCAAATATTTTTCAGTTTCTGGTTTTTAAAAATATTATTAAATAACCAGAGAAAAAAAATTGTATGCAAGGAATTTGTCAATGGAATTTGTGGGTCTCATTCCTTTTTCGTTTGGGAGTTGGTTTCTATATGCATATTCAAAAGTTTGCAAAAAATTGAATTTAACTCAGCATTTTTATATGTTGCAGAAACTCAGATAATTAAAACTAAAAAAAAAAAAAAATTAAAAAAAAAAAAAAAAAAAAATTAAAAAAAAAAAAAAAAAAAAAAAATTAAAAAATTAAAACAAAGAAAGCAACTGGGAAGTGAAAAGAAATGTTGATAGTTCATGAATTTTCGGTATTTATGAATATATGGCATCTCTAGAAGTACATCATCCCTACTTTTTGGTCATATTTCATTGTATGAAAAATTTATGAACTGTTTGTTACTGTTCGTGAATATCTACAATCCGTGAATGTATTCTGTCCCTGACTTTAACTTAAGTGAGTTTATCTTCACATAACAAGTTTTTATTTAGTCATATATACAATCTATTCAAATCAGTACAATGCTTATACCAGTCACTGATCACTAAATAATAGACATCAGAAGAAGCTGCATCACTATATCAAACTTATAATGGTAACGCGATGGCTACATAGAAAACGGACATGGCACTCAGCTATGCAAATTGTATGAACGAGTTATCACATACAAATTACGAAAGGTGAAAGGCGTATTTACAACTCAATTGGCCGTATATTGCGATACACGAGTTTCTTAATTTCAAAATTTTACGTTTCGTTTCGCCTGTTGATGATTAGGCAGCAAAGAAAATCAAGGTTTCGTTTCATCTGTTGACGATTAGATAGCAGAGAAAATCAAGTTTTCGTTTCATCTGTTGATCATTAGGCAGCAAAAAAAATCATTGTTTCGTTTAATCTGTTGATGATTTGACAGCAGAGACAATACAGATTTCGTTTCATCTGTTGAAAATTTGGCAGCAGAGAAAATCAAGATTTCGTTTAATCTGTTGATAATTTGGCAGCAGAGAAAATCAAGGTTTCGTTTCATCTGTTGATGATTTGACAACAGAGAAAATCAAGATTTAGTTTCATCTGTTGATGATTTAGCAGAGAAAATCAAGGTCTCGTTTCCTCAGCTGATGATTTGGCAGCAGACAGCTCTGCTTTGATTTTAACAACAGTGTAGGTGATGATCAGAAGCGGCCAATAAATTATGGATCTGGTTTGCGACGCCATGAAGAGGATATAGGAAAAACCTAGACGTTTCTCTCAAGATTAGCGCATCGGTAGACTTCGAAGTCTTAGAAATTTCAGCATGTTTTCGATTGATTTATTGTTTTGTCCCCTCCATGCTGCTACTTAACAGTTTACCATATCTTCCTGACTTGGTATCCGTCTGCATCTTGTTCTTTTCGACATGTCTGTTGTCAGGGCTGACATTATTTTTCCGCATTCTCTCGACATTGGCAAAGAATATGGATCTTCTAATGAAGGTAATGGGATCTCTTTGTGATTTAATTTATCAAAACATCCTTACGTTTTACATCTGTTAATAACCTTTTCAATATCCCTCAATAAAACCACTATTCTGTCACTGCCACGAGTTGACTTTATGATTACCAATCAATCTTATATGATACAGAATAAAGCATCTGTTTACAAATACACTTCTGTGGCCAAGTCGATGCTAACGTTTTGTAATGCCGGGTTCGATCCCAGCTGGGGGCCATGCGCATTGCTTTGGTTTCGACAGTGGTATCAAGAAAGCAATGACAAACGGCCAGGGGCTGTTGGGGTTGGTTCTGCAACGTCCTGCTAAGGATACGCAACTAACCTTTACAAATACACCGCTGTGCGGTACCTCTGTTTACTATTTCCTCTGTGCGGGCGTGCATGTTTGTGTGTTGTTGTGTGGACACAAATCAAGCAATGCTCGTACTTCCAAGCACATGATATGTTCAATTCTCCATACTGTTATATTCTCCATACTATTTATATTTCAAGGCCGATACACCTGGCGACACAACAAGGTGCTAAAAGAGTTAGCAGCCGTTGTCGACCAGGCTAGAATGAGGGCTAACGCCAGAGCCAGTTCTAGCATCGTCCCCATTCGTTTCCTCAAGGCTGGGCAGGTTCCAAAAGGTAAGGTCAACCAAAACGCATTGGCTCCATCTGTGCTAGACTCTGCGAGGGACTGGTTACTGGCGGTTGATCTGCCAGGCCATGAACGGTACCCCGAGTTGATTCGTAAGACCGGCCTGCGACCGGACATCGTTCTCCATTCTGCGCAAAAACGGCAGCTCATCCTGATTTGAGTTGACTGTCCCGTTTGAGTCGCGTATGGAGGAAAAGAAGTACTGTGATTTAGCAGCCGGTCTGAGGAGAAACGAAGCGTTCACAGTACGGGTGTTTGCCGTCGAAGTGGGAGCGAGAGGCCTCGTTTCCACGTCGCTCTACAATGTGGTGAAAGAACTAGGATTGCGCGGTAATGAACGGAAACGAACCATCAAAAAAACTGGGAGAGGTAGCCGAAAGGGCCTCTAGCTGGCTTTGGACGCAGCGCAACAACGTAGGGGACGGGCCTCGGTGAGCTGGTCCGGGTGTCTAGTGGAAAAGGGTTTCTCACCCCTTTGAAAGTCCATCGTGTCCGAATTGTCTGCCAGTGTTCCTCTGCCAACTGCTAATAAAAGTCCAACATGTGTCCGGTAAACCAAACGTAAGCTTGTCGCTCGGTCGTCCAGGCATGCTGACTGCTTTAATTAGGCTGCCGTGGCGACTTCTTATCTCACAGTACCTTCTGCGAAACCACCAAGTCGTCTTGTCTCTGGCCGAAAGTAAAACACCATCCTGTAATTCCGTGCAGCAGGGTACCAGCCCTGAGCTTCATGAACTCAGGTGGGCCCACCTCCGAATGCGTCTAGGAATCGTGGGCCGAAACGCGTGTCGACGAGGATAATTTCTACTGATGACTGGTAGATGCCTGCTGTACTTGCTCCCTGTGAGTTTATTCCTATATCTGCTTATTATCCAATATCTGATGCCTCCCACTATTTGTTTGTGATTTCTTATGAGGTTTTTATATTTCAATATGCCATTTAGTTTTCATTCGCCCGTTAAAACCATACTATGTTTATTTTTATTTATTTTAATAACCGTCAATTTCGCAGCAATTAGTTGAGCATTGCATTACTATTTTGTTTAATGTAGGTTTGGGGGAAAAAAAACACATTAAGGGGTCACTACATGAAATTTTTTTTCCAATTTATGAGAAACATATAATTTTTTCAGTGTCTTCGTTTTTGTAAAGTTGAGCATTCGTAGAATAGATTACACACAAAATGTATGTCACATGTAAACAATTTAGCATTGAAAAGTTAATACTAAGGACACCACCCCAGGACTTTTTTAGTGGAAAAAAATATAATTTAAAAATCGGTTTTCTTTAAACAAAATCTTAAAACCTATTTTAAGTAAATCAGCTACATACCCATGATTGTTTTTGAAATTTTAGGATTCTTAGCACATGTTTTCTCCAAGATGGCGGTTATTGCCATGGCAACCATGATTTTTTTTTCAAACTTAAAGTATGCAAATGTATTTACATTTATCCCTACTAATGACCATTATAAAATAACTGGTCTAACTCTGTGAATAAAAAGATAAAATGTGTTGGGTGTAGTGACCCCTTACGAGAGGTAATAAAGTGTGCTGCAGCATATAGTAGGACTTGGGCGTGGTGGTTGAAGGGATACAGGCCAGCCTATAACGTAACCATTATAACTAAGGCAACGTGAATATAAAGACATTTGCATGAGTAGTGCATGCGTATATTTCGCATGAATTTTATAATATTTTTTTAGAACCAAATTCTGAGATAATCTAAGAGACCATATGTAAAATGAAAGGAACAAACATTTATGTGAGATTTAGTTTCTCCACTTCGCACAGGGCTTTCGGAATAAGACACATCATTACAAATAATTATTTTTT